GCTTTTTGTTTTAAAAAATGGAAGTGTACTACAATTACATAACTTGCTTTTCCCCCTACTTCTAATATTAAGGTTCCTTCCTTACTGCCACGTTTCACTCATACTGTTTTCCAGACCAGGTTTCGAAAGGTCCGCCTACAGCATAAAAGCAAAGAGAAGTTCCTAGTTTCATTGTACAGTGTAGAAAGTGAGTCTTTGTATTTTTACAGTGACTTCATAGTACCATTGGGATAATTTGATTTTTACTTGCTAAAGTACTATGAATAAATTTATATTCATATTTGGGGTCCAGCTGAGGAAAACATTAACAGTACTTAACGCTAGAAAATAATTTTCCCAGAAATGTTTAGAACTTCCATTCACTCATATTATCCATATTGCACTGTGAAAACAAACAGTATTTATCTTGACAGTTACAGGTATTTAGTTAGGGTAAGTTGGAAAAGTCCATTATTCTCCTAATGCCTTTTACTGAAATCTTTTGTTCAAAAAAATATTTAACCCAGTATTTAAAATTGTGTTTGCTACCTATCAAATATTAGTGTGAGGGATTTTCCGCGAACAAAGAACAGTTTTAGACCTCAATGGAGATGCAACATATCTGTGTGTTCCTATGTTCAGTATTTGCGTTGAACCAAACTGTTGTTTGTTTTGCAGTACTGGGGACTGAACCAAGGGCCTTTGTACTAAGCTATCTCCCTAGCCATTTGAAAAACAATTTTTTAAAGACAGTCTCACTAAATTGCCTGGGCTAGGCTCGAACTTGCAGTCCTCCTGCCTCAGCCTCCCAGGGTACCACCATAGCAAGCTCAAACTGATTTTTTTAATGCACAAATAAAATGCCATTTATACTATTAACTCTGAATTATATCCAGCAAAACAGGATTCATAGTAGCTTTCCCTTTTTATTTATGATATCTATATCAGTTGGTGTTTACTAGAGAAATATATATTACACAAGATATACAAATATGCAAATGTCTTAGTTACTTTTCTGGTTGCTGAGACAATACCTAGAGTCCAAAGCTAAGGGGAGAATAGTTCATTTAGCTCACAGTTTGTAGAGGTTTCAGTCTATAATCGGCTGACTGCAAGGCAGGGTGGCACATGGCAGAGGGCAACAGTTCATGGTAGCAGAAGACAGCAAAAGCAACAAGAGAGAGAAGACTCTTTCTGTCATTTATATTGTATGCAGGCTACCCACCCTAGGGCAGATGTAGTACTCCCACTCTTAATCCCAGCACTGGATGATCATGAATGAATCACAAGCTAGATTCAGCCACCTCTGAAAAGCCCCACGTGATTGCATGAGGCTTTGGGGAGACATCTACACACAAACCGTAAGGTTCTGCCCCTGTCTCCCCAAAGACTCTTGCACATTCCTTTACTCAAAAGGCATTTAGTCAATCTCCGAGAGTTGCCAAAGCCCTAATAGTTTGAGCATTGCTGAAAAGTGCAAGTCTCCTCTGAGATTTAAGGTGAACTCTTCCCTGTAAGCCCTTACACAAGTGAAGAGGAAGTTAAACACTTCCAATATTCAGTGACACAAGATAGACATTTTCATTCTAAAAGTTACAAACAGAGGTACAAAGTAGTGGGACCAAGGCAAGTTCAAAATGCAGCAGGGGAAACATTAAATCCTGTAGTTCAATGTGCAGCATCCGAGGCAATCTCTGGCAGAGTGGGTGAGAAAGCTGTCTTTCCTAACCTTTGCTTCAGAAGATATTTTCACCAGGTAAGCTCTTAACAACTCATAACCTTTGCAAGTAGAGGGTCTTGCCCCAGTGTTGATAGCTGCTGACTGATCAGGGTGTAGTTGCCCGGCACTAGGTTTTCTGTGGCAGTTTCTTAAAATAAGACAGTGAAGTTTGATGTATCAGTTGACTCTTCAAAAAAGATGTCTTTGTAGCGTGTGGTGCTCTTTCACCTGTGGGTGGCACTTCTTTCAAAATCCCAGTCAGTTCTCTTGGATCCTGCCACTGCTTTATCAGCTAAGTTTATGTAGTACTCTAAATCCTCTTGTTACTTCGACAGTGTTTACAGCATCTTAGATGAAATCCAAAAGTACATAGATTCCATCTCAGTAACCACTTACTTTGCTCGTCCATTAGAAATAACTCCTCACTTACTAATTTTATCGTAAGCTTGTAGCAGCTCAGTCACATTAGGTTCACTTGTGATTCTAGTTCTCTTGCTATTTCTGACACATCTGCTTTACATTCTCAACTGTTTTTAACTCCTCAAAGTTATTCATGAGGACTTAACACACTTCTTAATGTTGACGTTTGATGTCCAGCCATGAACCATCAATGCTCATAATAGCGTCTACAATGGTGAATTCTTTCCAAAGAGATTTCAGTTTACTTTGCCTGGATCCATCAAAGAAATCACTGTCGGAGGCAGCCATAGTCGTACAAAATGTGGTCCTTAAAAAAGACTTGAAAGTTAAAATTACTCCTTGGTCCATGAGCCACAGAATGGATGCTGTGTTGGCTAGCATAAAAATATTAATCTTTTTATCTTTATCAGAGCTCGTGGGTGACCAGGTACTTTGCCAGTGACCAGTATTTTTTTTTTAAAGAACCTTTTATTCTGAGCAGGTCTCAACACTGGGCTTAAAATAGTGAGTAAACCAAATGGTAAACAGATGTGGTGTTGTCCAAATTTTATTGTTCTATGAATAGAGCACAGGCAGAGTAAATCTGGTGTAATTTCTTTGTTTTTTTTTTGAGGAAAGTTCCTTTTGGCTTGCATTCCTCTTACCTTGGCTTCCCCACATGCTGGGCATGCATGCATGTGCCACCATGCCCAGCTGATGTAGTGTCAGGCTGACCTTGAACTCACTGTGTAACCCAGGTTGGCCTGGAACTCTTGGCGATACTCCTGCCTCAGCTTCCCAAGTCCTGGGATTACAGGCGTGTGCCACCATGCCTGGCTTTAGTGTAATTCTTAAAAGCACTACGATTCTCAGAATGGTAAATGAGCATTGACGTAAATTTAAATTTATCTTAACAAGAGTCAGTCTGTCCTCTGATACTTTGAAGCCAAGTATTGACTTCTCCTCTATGAAACCCCTAGGTGGCCTCTTCATTACCTTCATCAGTGATGTTAATTTTGCTTTTACATTGATACTTGCTGTTGCAGCTTGGACGTTTACAATAGGGAGACAGCTTGTTCTCCTAAACGTTGTGAGCCCGCCTCTGGTGTCTTCGGCCCTTGTTTCTGCAGCTTCCCTCTCTCAGCCTTCATAGAGTTGAGGAGAGTGAGCATGTTGCTGTGGATTAGGCTTTGTCTGGAGGAAATACTGTGGCTGGTTTGATCTTCTGTCCAGGTCACTAAACGTTTCACTATATCAGCAGTAAGGTTGTTTTGCATTCTTACTCATGTGTTCCGGGAGTGGCACTACTGATTTTCCTTCAGGAACCTTTTCCTTGCATTTACAGCTTGGTTAGCTGTTTGGTGCAAATGGCCTGGCTCACATCCTATCTCACCCTTCCGTATGCCTTTCCCAATGGGCTGTCATTTCTAGCTTTTGATTTAGAGCAGGAGGTATGTGACTTTTCTTTCCCTTGAGCACTTAGATTGGGGTGAACTGGCCTGGTCTCAGTAATCACATCTCAAGGAAGAGAGGGAAATGGGTAGAGGATAACCCATCAGTGGTGCAGTCAGAACACACAGCATAGCGGTTAACTTTGCCTGCTTACAAGGTCCCAGTTCATGTTGCTCCAAAACAGTTACAGTAATTACATCAAAGATCACCAATCAGTTTATCAGGTGCAATAATAATGCAAATTTTGTTGAAATACTAGAATTTCAACGCCAAAATGTGACGCCAAGACCTGAACAAGCACGTGTTCCTGGAAGAAGGAAGCTCAATACAGGATTGCCGCAAGCCTTCAATTTGGGACAGAGAGACCTGACTATAGTCAGACCTTTCACATTCTAATATTTATAAAGATGGTTTAAAGTTTGCCTTAAGCCAACCGAAACATCCCTTCTACACAATTTTAACTGTAACGTGTTCATTATTCCCCACTTTTGATAAAATACCTGTATAATACAGTACCAAGTCTCAGACATTCTTTAATAGAAACAACCTAACCCAGACAAAAGGAGGACTACCTTGGTTCTCAGGATCCCAGCAGAGACGTTAGTAACTAACCCATGAAGAGCGACTTGGGCAGTAATGCAGGGGAGGGTGTACGTGCCGGCTCACTGACCTGCTTCTGCACATCTCTTCCCAAGTCCGCACTCAGCGATGTGTTGGTGTCCTTCGTCTGTCCATGGGGGGCTGTCCCCATTGGAAAGCCAACAAGCACTGCCAGTCAGTGCTTGCACCACCCCGTCCGTTGCTCACCCCTTAGTAGCACACCACTGTCTTTCAGCAAGCACCGTCAGTCAGATACCAGCAAACTGCTGTTGGACTGTGCATTCTGCATCTTTTGAGGTTACCTTCTGTCCCTAAAGATGGCTTTTCCTGTATAGTAGGACTTTTGTCCCATGAGACCTCCCAAGTCCCCTATTCTGACACTGCAGAGACACTTTCTCCATTGCCGTTTGGAAAATACTGGAAAAGGTCTGAGTTGAAGATGACAAGCCTGGAGGGGTGGAAGGGGATCAAGGTGCATAAGGTCATGTTCAGAATTTGCACATGGGAGTAGGTATCCGTTGCTTGGGAAAGTAAAAGGGCATATTACGAAGTAGACTGCTCTATGATGTTTATTATACTTGCTAAAATACACATTTAGCTAAATCAAACTGTGTAGTTCCAGAACAGCATTAGATATTTGGAGTTATTTTAAACATGACTTAGAAAAAGTATAGTTTTGAAACTTTTGGAGGGCGGTACCGGGAATTGAACTTGGGACCTTGCACTTGCCAGGCAGGCGCTGTGCCTCCGAGCTACATCCCCAGCCCCTGAAACATTTTAAACAAGACATCTATTTTTTAAACATTATAAGTCCTATACTGGTTTTATTAAAATACGATTTTTTTTTTAGGGTTTGAACTACAGTTCCGATTAGGCCCAACTTTGCAGGGAAAAGCAGTTACTGTGTATACAAATTACCCATTTCCCGGAGAAGCATTTAATAGAGAAAAATTCCGTTCCCTGGATTGGGAAAACCCAACAGAAAGAGAAGATGATTCTGATAAGTACTGTAAACTTCATCTGCAACAGTCTGGATCATTTCAGTATTACTTCCTCCAAGGGTAAGTTAAGTGTTCCGTGTGTAGAAAAGAGTTAACTTATTTTATGACCCAAAGTTACAGTATGAAAATGGCAGTGCAGTTTTTTGCATTGCTTTCTTTAGATACAAATAGACGATGATTCTTCAATTTCCAGGAGGTTACTGCATGACCCATTTTATGGTGGGTTTTTTAGGGGTTTTTTTTGTTTTGTTTTGTTTTTTGTTTTTTGTTTTTTTTGGAGACAGGGTCTCACTATGTAGTTCAGGCTGGCCTTAATAACATACTATAGACTATAGAAATGATCCCTGAAAGTATAGCCTTTCAGGCTGGCCTTGAACTCACTATGTAGCCCAGGCTGGTCTCGGACTCATGGTGATCCTCCTGTCTCTGCCTCCTGAGTGCTGGGATTACAGGCTTGCGCCACCACACCCATCCCTATATAAATTTTGTAAAGTCCTTTCCGGCAGCATGAGTATGCAGTGCTTTTTATTTGAATGTCCTTGCGATTACTGATAGGGTTTGGCACGTGTATTTTTCATTAGTTCTGTTATGTTACATAGTCATGTGGCAATTGGGTAAAAGCAGCTTCTGCTATTGTTTGCTATGGTTTTGTGCTTCGATACACATATATTTTTAAATGGGACAGTTCACCTCCTAGAGTCAGACCGTTAGAAGGGGATATTTTTCCCTCTCACTGATTGTTTTGTTTTCTCTTAGAAGTGAGAAGAGTGGTGGAGGTTACATAGTCGTGGATCCTGTTTTGCGAGTTGGCGCTGATAATCACGTGTTACCCTTGGACTGTGTTACTCTGCAGACTTTCTTAGCGAAGTGTTTAGGGCCTTTGGATGAATGGGAAAGCAGACTTAGGGTCGCAAAAGAATCAGGTAACGTCAGCTTTTTTTTAGAAATCAATGTAATCCTTAATAGTTTTCAAAAGTTGTGCTTTTAATTTCATTTTTAATGTGTTTAGTAATTAGATAAAACCATATGACATTTTTTATGCTTGACCACTTTTATTTATTTGTCTCTTTTTTTGAGACATGGTCTCGCTATGCAGTTCAGGCTGGCCTTGAGCTCACTTTGTAGCCCAGGCTGGTCTTGAACCTGCAACAATCCTCCTACCTCCTCCTCCCAAGTATTAGGCTTACAGGCATGCGCCACCATGCCTGGCCACTTGACCACTTTTAATCTATAAAAATGGCAAGTTCTGTGGTTTTATTTAAGAATTGAAAGAATTCTGATGAAGTGACATCATTTCTAAGATTTTGTTTTCACATATGAAAATTAGCAGTAAACTATTACAGTAGTGTTCAGTTTCTACTTTCAAGGTGAATATACCATGCAGAAAGAAGTGAAAATTCACTGACAAAACTGAATTCTGTGAATACCAGTACTGTAGGGTATTAAAAGCAGGAAAAAATGTATATTGATATACTTGCATGGGAAATATTTTCATATAGCCAACAAGTAAAAACCAAACCCCTAGTAATAACTAAGTACTGTGTATGTAATTTTTTCAAGTATAGTACCTCATTATCCCTGTCTTATAAATGAGACGACTGATCGTACTAAATGATTTAAGCAGCATACCCGGCTAGAATTCGAACCCACGTCTTTGACACCTTGTCTAGCAGTGTGGTTGCCTTCCTATCTATAATTACTTGGGAAAGTTTACATTGATGTTTTACTTAGTTTTAGGTTAGTCATGTTTTTTCTCACAGTAGTCCTTATTTTCTTGCTTTGCAGGCTACAACATGATTCACTTCACCCCACTGCAGACTCTAGGACTGTCTCGGTCATGCTACTCCCTGGCTGATCAGTTGGAGTTAAACCCTGACTTTTCAAGACCTAATAGAAAGTATACATGGCATGATGTTGGGCAACTAGTGGAAAAGCTGAGGAAAGAATGGAATGTTCTTTGTATTACAGATGTTGTCTACAATCATACTGGTATGATCTTCATTAATTTTGATGAGAATCTTAAATTCTAATTATTTTATTCACAGATATTTTATTCACTGATAGTCATATATGTACACACACATTTGCGCTGTACTACTGAGCTACATCCCCACCACTTATTTAAGATGCATTTTATCTTTTTTCTCCGTTCCCCTCTCCTCCCTTCAACCCCTCTTCCCTTCTTATTTACAGAAGCTTTGTTTGCATGTTTTTCCTTCTGTTCTCTTTTTTGTACCTCTTCCCTTCCCCATACCCACTCCCTTATTCCAGTCCTCATTTAAACATCTCCTCCCATTTCCCAGTATCCGTTACACATTTTGGCCTTCATTTATACTTTTGGTTTCTCACACAAGAGAAACAGTGTGATATTTAAATATGTACATCTGATTTATTTTACTTAAGAGTACAGTCTTAAGGCGAAGATGAATGTTAAAGAAGCAAGTGGTGATTAAAAGTTCTTCAGCCAGGCCTGGTGGCTCACACCTGTAATCCCAGCACTTGGCAGGCTGAGGCAGGAGGATCGTTAGGAGTTCGAGACCAGCCTGGGATACAAAATGAGCTCAAGGCCAGCCTGAACTGCAGAGTGAGACCCTGTCTCAAAAAACAAAAAAAAGTGTTCTTCAATTTTAAAATTCATTTTGTATGCTGTCACTTTTTTCTTTTAGCAGAAACTGTATTAGTTGAAAATAGAGTTGAAATATAAGTACTTGTAATTCTTTTAAAAATAGAGTGCTTATAGAAGGGACATAATAATCACATATTTCAATTTGGAGAGTAATACTTTCCATAATAAAACCTTTGTATACCAGTGAGCTTTAGTCCTACAGCATGTATGAATAACTGAATGACTTCTGTTATTGTGGAAGAAATCACTAGTAAACTTTCCAAAGTTATATGTTTTACATGTGAAAAGAGTACCAAAAAAAAAAGTAGTTAGCCCATTCTGGTTCCCAAGGTAACCTTAATTATATAGGACCCTATAAAATATATAAAATTTTCCCTACTGGTGGAACTAATTGTTCCCCTTACCCATCAGAGCAGCTGGGCCTGGTCTGATGAAGCCTGTAGCCATGAGCTTGCAGTTAATCCAGTGTACGTTACAAATATTACCTTCCATATGTGCCGTCATGTAGCAAAGTGTGGACACTAATAACTGGCAGATGTAAAGAGCAGAAATTCTAGATGGCGTAAAAATTTAAATGAAATCAGTGTTGTTTCCTGTTTCCCAGGAAACCGTAGAAGATATGAAGATGTTTAAAGATTATAGACCTAGTTTATCGGTATAGACGATGTAGCAGTCAGTGCTTACAGTGCTTAGTTAATGCAAGATACACAAATACATGTGAGTTTACAAGATTGGCTTGCAGTGGCGGCCTGCACAGTCAGGTGAGGAAGAGTGCAGGTCTGCAGTCTGCTGCGGATCTGAAGGGTCCGGGCAAGGGCCTGGAGCTCACGGTAGTGTCCCGTGTGCGTCCGTGTGAGGGCGCCAAAGCATCTGTGACGGAAGGCTGAAGAGTGTGCCCAGAGCCAGGAGCTGAGTCCAGGGTGAAGACGGGAGCGCCTCCTCCCGGGAAGCAGAGGCAGGCTTCCCCTCGTTTCCCTGCTATTCCACACCGGCGATCTGCGTGTTGGTTGGTGCCGCTCACGCCCAGCATGGGTGTTCTGTCTTGAGTAAACCCTCAGCCACACCCAGAACTGTGCTGATAATTTAGTTGGGCGTTTCTTACTCCGATCGGCCCAGGTAACTACCACAGACAGTGATACCCAGTGGTAATGGCAAATCGGCGTGCACCTGCAAATCAGGGCTCCATGTCTGTGGTACAAACTGTGACACAGTATTTGTCACTTGAAAAAATGACAGTGTTGATAATTATTCAGACATCTGTAATACTCACATTGAGTTCATCAGTATAATGATGTGTTAGTTACAGCTATGGAATGAGAAGACAGTTCAGGCAGCTGTGTCAGAGACAGAAAACTGTAGCGGTTTAGGATCGAAGGTGTGTTTACCTCGTATGAGAGGTGGGGCACCCGAGGGCTGAAACTAGCCCCATGGCGTGAGGGAGCGAGCGTCTTGCTCTCACGCTGCTCTCCGTCTCCAGCGCTCTGCTTCCGACTTGTAGCCTAACACGGCTGCCGCGTCCCGTGTCGCGTCCCGCCCGGGTTCTGCTCACGTTGCATCGGGTACACCCTGTCGCTCATCCCACATACCTTCAGGGAGCCTCGCAGTGGGGTCTTCAGTGTGGCAGCCGTGTGTACGGCTGAGCCTTGGGAGCTTTACTACTAAAGGGAAAAAGAGTGAAAATTGAAGTAAGTAGCATCTGAGAGATTCTGTGCAATGTAGAAGAGATGAACTTTGTCACAGCCTTACCTGGAGGCTTGCAATCCTTATGTCCTTTTGTGAAATGGGATTGCATTCGACAGTTACATTCAGGGGGAATCTACTTCCAGAACAGCGGCGGAGGGCTCCATACACCCTCTACCTAGTGGAACAACCGTAACTGATGAAAATTATTTCCTAATAATCATGTAAAGTCCCCAGGAAGATGTTTGGCGTATGGAGAGACCTGAAAATCTATTGGTGAGAACGGCAAGAGTCTCTGGCGTGTAAACAGAGACGCGCTGCGGTGTCCTGCCCAGGGCTGCCGTGCACAGCGCTGTCCCCAGTGCTCTACTCCTGGCGGCGCGGCTCTCCCCCGCTCCCGCCGGGGCTGTAACCTCACCTACGAGGGTCAGGCTGCCCCGCATCCCCGCCCGTGTCGCAGCTCTGGGCCGCTCTCCACGCGGCTCCCGCTTGTGACCGGATGTCCCAGCCCCGGTGAACGGACCGCGAGCACTGAGAACCCACCTGCTCTTGGTGCATCCCGCAGATTCTTGCTGCTGTTACGTTGGGTGTGCGCCAGTGTGTAGATGCCCTTAGAACAACTTCCAGAGACATTGCGTGATTTTTAATGCTTTTCACCAGTTACATTGGCGACAGTGTTCGTTGCGTTCTCTACTGCACTGCTGCAGAAGCCCGTGATTAATTTTTAGTTTTGGTATGTTGAACACAGTTGGGAGTTTCATTCCTCTTTCATGTAGAATTAGAAGAAGTATAGAGACCCTCATTACCTAATGCTTAGAATTATTTCATTTGACACTTAATTTTACTTGAAAGTATTGAGAAAAAACTGTTCCAGGAGCTTACTGTTAAAAAAATCAGGGTGTCGTTGCAGGTTTTCCTTAAAGGTATGTGGGATAAGACAGAGTCTGACCCAATGCAGCATGGCAGAATCTGAGACGGAATATGAGACAGAAACCGGAGCAGGCGTATGTGATTAAAAGTTGAAAGCGGAGTGCTGGAGATGGCAGAGCAACGTTCTGATTCTAGATTCTGAGGAGAGAATTGCCCAAGTTAATTCCTGGCCATGTGACTTTGCCTGAGTTACTTATCCCTCTGAGCCTCGGTTCTTCATCTGTTAAAGGAACGTAATAGTGTGTTCTGTATCACGTGGTGGGAAATGAGGAATCATAAATTAGTGCATTTAACTGCTTAGAAGAATTCCTAATGTGTATATGTATGCAATAATTGCTATTTTTTTTTATTTTAAAGAGTAAAAGAAGGGTAACATAATAATAGAGAAGGCTTACCAAATTACAAAGTGGTAGGAAATTAACAATGGTTATTGTTTTACATATTGTTATCTACAAGATAGTTTCTCAGGAAAACAAATAGACAATAGTGAGTTACAGACAAAAGAGATAGATTATCAATAGTTGTTGTACTGTACTTTGGTATCTTCAAAGTGGCTTCTAAAGAAAATAAATAGAGCTATACATGAGTGACCAATGAGTAATCATTAACTTTTCTCAATGGTTGTTGTAGGAAACACATAATAATAAACATGCATCCATTTATGAAATAGCATAAGAACAATACAAATATTACAGAGTTATGGGTAGATTAGTAGGAAAATATCAATGACTGCTGTAATACATGGTGGTATCTTCGAAGTGGTTTCTCAGGAAGACAGAGATACACAAGAAGGATCTAACAAGTAGTTACAGCCTAAGGGTTGTCAAAAATAGCATATTACCTCCTCACCAGTGAATAATGGCTATTTTTATTCCACTGATAACTCTTGTCCTTAGTGTGAATTCAGGGGGCACTAGCCCACTTTAAACATCAAACAAGCTGACTGAGGTGATACACACCTGCAACTCCAGCTACTCAGGAAGCCGAAGCAGGAGAATCCAGGGGCAGCCTGGACAATTTAGTAAGACTAGCTAAAAAAAGCAGATAGGCTGGCCATGGTGGCACACCCCTGTAATCCCAGCGTTCAGGGGACTGAGGCAGAAAGATTGCCATGAGTTCAAGGACAGCCTGGGCTACATAGCAAGACCCTGACCTCCCACGGCAAAAAAGAAAAAAGCAGATTGAGGGATGGATGAATGGATGAGTGGGTGGATAGGTGGGTAGTTGGGTGGATGGATAATATACAAATTGTGTACAAGTCTTCTCCATTGTAAAAAATCTTTAATGTTGTAAATTACCTTCAATAATTGGAATCTTTCCAGACTCCTGATTCTGATTCTGAACTTACTGGTGCAGATGCATAAAAAGATACAGAGTTCATCCTTGTCCTTCAGTGTGTTTCTTTCAGCAGTTGCTTGGCCTCGCTTTTGTCTGTCCTATCCAAGCACGTATTTCATTGGCCTCTAGGGTTACCTGTGCAAAGGGGTAACCTATGAGAGAACTGATTTTTCTTCCGTCAGGGTTTTCTGGTTTTCGGTCAGTCCGTGTGTGCAGGGCACAGCGTTCACATTCCACGTGGTGCCTGCACATGGCACACCTTCACTCTTCGTGCGTCCCCTTTCCCTCTCCTCCCTGCGCTTCTCTTCGTCTTGTGACGCCCTTCCCCTCTGAGAGAGATGTGTCCCTACTTCCTGTTGTCTCTTTTATTTTGCTCTTTATTTATAATTTGTGCTTCTCATGTAAGAGAAACCATGTGATATTTAAGCTGTGTGCCTGATTTATTTCACGTAACATGGTCTCAGAGTGCATCCATTTTCGACAGATGACTCATTTATCTTTCTTTACGGCAGGTAGTACTCCGTTGTATGTAAACACACATTTTCCTTATTGTCAGTCTATTGATAGCAGCGCAATTCATCATAGCTACCTGTTGGAAGCAGCCCCTCAGGGTTTCCTAAACAGTGTCAAAGTTTAAAATAGTATGGTGAAATCAATTGTAGGGTGTCATAACCAAAGAAATTTTTCATACGATAGTATTATAAAATATTAATGTCTAAGAAGGAAATACCTGGAAGATGTCAATATTTTGTTTTACCTTTAAACTTAGGATACTTTTTTGGGGGGGGTGGTCTTTTTAAGGCAGCGTCTCACTATGTGGTTCAGGCTGGCCTTGAGCTCGCTTTGTAGCCCAGGCTGCCCTTGAATTCCCAAAGATGCTCCTGCCTCAGCTTCCCAAGTGCTGGGATTGCAGGCATGCACCACCATGCCCAGCACCATATTATCTTTAATTACAAAGTATTCAGTTTAATCACAAAATGTTTCCTTTTTTTAAGCTTCTAACAGTAAATGGATCCAGGAACATCCAGAATCTGCATATAATCTTGTGAATTCTCCACATTTAAAGCCTGCCTGGATTTTAGACAGAGCACTTTGGCATCTCTCCTGTGAGGTTGCAGAAGGGAAATACAGAGAAAAAGGAGTCCCGGCTTTGATTGAAAACGATCACCACATGAATGTAAGTATGTGTAGAGGACCATCGCTTCAAATCAGAGTAACACAATTTCCAAGTACTAACTAAATATGTGGTTGAAAATTACTTACAATCTGTCTTTTAATGCAATAAGCAGTATTTGATGAAAAGATTTCTATTCATACATCTTTTTCACTATTGAAATTTTTCAGTGCATTCGAAAAGTAATTTGGGAGGATATTTATCCAAAGATTAAGCTGTGGGAATTCTTCCAAGTAGATGAGCACAGAGCAGTTGAGGAATTTAGAAGACTTCTCGCCCAAGGTAAAGGATGTGCATCATGTTGTCCGTATCAATTTTGAGAAGTTTAATATTACTTTACACGAAGGATAACTTTTTCTCTTGGTTAACATTATAATTAACTATTATTACATTTTGATGCTATAAAGCTGTATTTCTGGAATCAGTAGAAACATCTCAAGGGTGTGTCATAATGTGTTAAAATTGAATTTTAAGAATGTATTTTACTTTGTGGGTTTGTTTTTTTTTTTGAGTTTTACGAGTGGTCATTTATCAACTGCTGGGGATACAGACTAGGGAGAATATGCAGCAGCAGATCAGATCTAAGGAGATGGTAGGATGACTCACACAGCCACCTACAAGTTACAAGATTCCAGCTGGAAATACATTTTGAACTTACTTATTTTTAATTACTTAAACATCACCAGGCAAATGGGAAGCTCGGTCTGCCTCTGTACCTTAAACAAACACTAAGTTTGTTACGTGACATCTGTGTTAATGACGTCTGTGAGTCATCCCCAGTATGCCGCCCCACCAAATTATGCTCGTTCCAAATCTTAAGGAATTCCATTTCTGCAAATTCTTTCAAGTCAGTCTGTATGGCTCAGAACTAAAAGCGGCTATACAACTTGAGAAAGGATTAATAACCGGTTCAGAAGACTGTGTTCATTAGAAACCAGTTGTGTGCTGCTAATACTAGCAGTATTGTTCTCTAACACCAGCAGATTTTTATGGCATATTTGCCAGTTTCTCCCCAAGATGTTTGTTTTAACTCATCGATACAATAATATGATATAAATGAAAAGAAATTCTAGTTACATTTAAAAGCACAGAAAGATTGTTATTTGATTGGTTCAGACCATAACTGAAAACTGATTATGTATGATGTTTAATAATGTACAGCATATTGAACACAATGATTGTACCCTCTAACTGGGTAAAATGCTGAAATGTACCTACAGTTCCTGAGTTCTGTGCCACATATTTCCACAAACTCTAACACATAATTTCTCTTACAGTGACATCAGTGTCACTTGATGTTTTATAAGCTATTTCAAAGTATCTGTAAATTAAGCCAAATATGAATTAATTACTTAATATAAGATCACTTCCAGTGGAGACAGTCCTGCATCAATGCCTGGTTTATTAGAAACAAGTTCCAGAAAAAGAGTGAAAATTCCCCCCAAAAGCGTTTGTTTCCTTTTCATCTTACTATCTAAGTGATACAGTTATAAATGAAAACAGAAAATAATACCTGAAAACAAAGCTATATGCTTCTATCAGAGAAGGCAGAGAAAGGCTGTTGATAAGACTTATTTTAGAAACAGAAGCCATCCTTGAAGGAACAGAACTCCTGAGGTTAGGATATTTAGCGGTATGTATCTGAGAAGAAAGCACATACTTCCAAAGTCCTTAATGGTCTGAAAAGTGAATAAATGAATTCTAACTGAGACCACAAAGTGAGCTAGGATTGAACTGCAGGAATCCTTACGTTTCCTTTCAATAATATTTTGTCTCTCTCTGTATAATACCACACTGGGTGTGGGGAGGGGTGATAACAGGAGGAGAACAGGAGCCAGGCAAGGTGGCACATGCCTGTAATCCTAGCACTCTGGAGGCTGAGGCAAGAGGATTGCTGCCAGTTTCAGGCCGGTCTGGACTATGTAGTGAGTTCAAGGCAAACCTGAACTAGACAGTGAGACCCTGTCTCAAAAAACAAAAAAAGGAGAAGCGGGAAGGATGGTTGAATCCCCTTGTGGATACTTGCAATCAAAATGCCATTTTTTCTTTGTTCCAGAAAACAGGAGAGTAACCAAGTCTGATCCAAACCAGCATCTTAAGATTATTCAGGATCCTGAATACAGACGGCTTGGCTGTACTGTAGATATGAACATTGCATTGGCAACTTTCGTACCACATAAGTACGTTACGTACTTGTCCTGTGAAAGGAATAATAGTAATACATGTGTACCTTTTTGGCGCGTATGACTTTCATAGTACTTGTGAAAATGCTTCACAGAAAGTAAAATGAAGTAATGATCCGTAATTCTGCTGCTACGGCGCATGGCACCTTCCACTTCAGCTTGTGCCCGGTCACGTCTCTGTGCATGCATGTAGAACTTTTTACAGTGGGAATAGCTTTTCAGCCATAGTTAAGATCCTGATGATTATATTTAAGGATTCTGTGACCCTTACTAGGAAGCTTTTCAGTGTAGTTTTGTAAAACTACTACATCGGTTTGTATTGCTCTGTCTGCTCTAGCAATGGGCCAGCCGCAATTGAAGAATGCTGTGGTTGGTTCCGTAAGAGAATCGAGGAATTAAATTCCGAGAAGCACCAGCTCGTCCACTATCACCAGGAACAGGTCGGACCGATTGTTACACTGTTATTTCTCTTCGAGTCTTAATGTTATTTTTTGTTGTTGATGATACAACATAATTTAATATTTTCTAGGCAGTTAATTGCCTTTTGGGAAACGTGTTTTACGAACGAATGGCTGGCCATGGTCCTAAGCTAGGACCTGTCACTAGAAAACATCCCTTAGTTACCAGGTATTTCATTGTTGTTTTCTTCTCGTTGATGGTTAAAAATGGAAAATTGTATTTAATCTTGCAAGTTAGTATGTTTCCTTTAAGGTCTGATTTCAGAACATTTCTTAAAGTGAAGTAGAAGTTTTAACTCACGAGTATATTTAGTATTTATTGATCTTGTTTGGCAAATCTTTAATTAAAAATATTACCTGTGTACCAATTTATAGATATTATTTACATTAATGTTTCGGGAGGACTGCGTCCTCGGTGTCTTTTCTGTCGTTGGAATTTAGAGTACCTGAGATTAGAATGTTTATAAAGAAACAAGATTTACTTGGGTTCAGGGTTCTGGAGCCTGGGAAGTCTCAGAAGCGCAGTGCCCGCCTCTGCTCAGCTCCTGGGCAGGCCTGGTGCCACATCAGCTCAGGAAGGGAAGTAGGAGGGCGGTGAGCACGTGCGGGAGAGACGGGTGAACGCAGGAAGCGGCATGTCTTGGCGAACCCATTCTCGGGATAGCTGGTCCAGCCCGTTGAGGGCGAGAACTCCCTCAAGGAAGGCGTTAATCCACTCCTGAGGACTCCTCCCTCATGACCCGAAACCTTACCTCAAAACCACCTCCAAACACAAGAAATTGAGGGCCTCACAGAGGATCTTTTGCAAGAAATGGTCAGACTGCAGCCGCTGCTAGCAATACGTCAGTGATAACCAGCTCGAGCAAGCTGGTTACTTTACTTTAAGGAACATGCAGCATAAGTTGGACCAGAGGATGATAAAAGCCTTGGCAAAGCAGCAGGAGCATCTCAAGCAATTTTCTTATCATTTTAGGTTTTAAAAATTACTTTAAAAGTTAGCTGTATATGGCACAATTTTAATTCCCCCTCTTCAGATCCTTCTAGAGTAACTCAAAAAGTCTGTCTTTCTATTTGGATTTTATATCCTGGAAATGGTGTCAAGCTAATTTTATTGACTCTACTCATTAGGGGAGAAGTTTAATTTTTAGTGTTGCAAATCCAGATTCTCTCCAAGGAGCTGCTCTGTGTGGATTTAATATTTCATTGTCTGTCTAGGTATTTTACTTTCCCATTTCAAGAGATGGCCTTATCCACAGAAGAATCCATGATGCACACCCCAAATAAAGCCTGCTTTTTCATGGCACATAACGGGTGGGTGATGGGGGATGATCCTCTCCGAAACTTCGCAGAGCCAGGTACCTCATTTTTCCCTTTCTGTGGAAATGGGAGGAAGGGTTCTTGGAGAGTTCAAGTGTGACCTGTTCTACTGGATCTTTCCCAGCAAGGCCAGTTTTCCAGCTGTTTCACTACAAGCATCAGGGGTGCATCTGTTTGAGAGAAACAAGAAGGAAAACTTTTGAGAGTGACTATAGCTTTAAAGAGCGAATTACATTTACTCTTTTTTTCTTAGGAAGCAATTTAAATGTTTTCTTTTTCTTTTTGAGACAGGGTCTCTCTGTGCAGTCCAGGCTGGCCTTGAGCTCACTTTGTAGCCCAGGCTGGTCTTGAACTTGCAACGATCCTCCTGCCTCAGCCTCCCGAGTGCTGGAGTTACAGGTGTGCGCCACCAATCTGGCTATGGGCGCACTTTTTAAAAACAGACTATAAGTTAGAATGTTTATAAAATAGGTATGAGCCATAAATATTTCACAGACGAAAAGGTATTGACTGAAAGGATGGTATTCATACCTTTTTCTGGCTTTGCCTTCCTGCCTTGCATTTCCTTAAACTGGATACCTTTTGAGCTGGGTGGGCGTGGTGCGCACCTGTGCTCCCAATACCTGAGAGACCTCAGCCGGGGGATTGCTGCAAGTTGAAGGCCAGTCCGAACTGTACAACAAGACTGTCTCGACCCCCCACCGCAGAGAAGAGCTTTTAGGTGTTTAATTTATGTATTTAATGTTTTTTGTGAATCTATATGAGCTACTATTAGGGCAAAATACTATTTTATTGCACTTTTAAAATGTTTGGAGCCATTGCTGTTAAACTTACAAGAAAGATTTCCACTCACTGGCTCTGAAGTATTTGAAAGATGGTTAGACTGGAAAGAATTGTTTCTGGGTTCCCCTCACTTACCTTTAGCATCTTTTTTCCTACTACTGTTTCATTGTTAGGAAACGTTCTGCAGGAGGTGTGGGAGTTTCAGCCTTTCAGAACTCAGAATTTATTTTAGTAGCATTAAAGTTAAATCAGAATTCTTACGTTCTTATAAGACTGTCACTGTGTAACTCCGGGCTTACGTCTATCAGCCCTCTGTCTTCCAGCCATTCCAAGTGAAATGATTCATTCTGGGGTGTGCCAAAGATGTACTGCAAACTATTCTCAAAGATTAATAGAAAGGTAGAGATGGAGCTTTAAGTGGTTTTGGTAAAACTGTAGTATTTAAGAGCCTGTAATATTACTAGTACTGTTTTTGCTTAAGGAGCGACTTGAATTTTTGAAATTAAGCCCACATTTTTTTGAAGAGATCATAAGCTAGAATTTTTCAAAATAGTATGAGATACAAATTAATACTGTATTCATTCTAAATTTTTGTCTCATACCACTTTAGGTACAATTTAACCAGATCATGTGTGGTAGAAATAATTCACTCCAGCACTCTGGAGACTGAGGCAGGAGGGTGACCAGGAGTTCAAGGCCAGTCTGAGCTATATAGTGAGACCCTGTCTTGAAAAAAAGAAAAAGGACAGTATTTCTTTCATGGGTGTTTTGCAAATGGGAAGCTCTGGAGGTGGAGGGAAGGGGGAAGGGCAAAGAATTAAGATGTGCTGCATATGAGTGCCAGCCCCCCAGTGAATGTGATCACTGAACTGCAGACACCTACTAGGATAAACATTTTTTAAATAAAATGAAGATGACAGTGTTTCCTCAGGTAATCATTTTTACTCTATTTCTTGAACCATTGAAAGCAAGCTGTTTTCTGAGCAGGTTCGGACGTTTACTTACGGCGAGAACTTATATGCTGGGGCGACAGTGTGAAACTGCGCTATGGGAGTAAGCCAGAGGACTGTCCCTACCTCTGGGCACACATGAAAAAGTACACTGAGATAACCGCGACCTACTTCCAGGGCATGCGTCTGGATAACTGCCACTCCACACCTATCCACGTGGCCGAGGTACAGAAACGCAGTTCTCTGCATCAAACAGTAGTGAACATGAACAGCAGTCCTTCGTAGCTTTGCTTAATTAAGCAGCTATGTAGATACATGTTTCCTTCTGTTTGGATTCTGGTTGTTGAGTGCTTAAAAGTTAACACTTTTGCATAATTTGCCTAACTAACAATCTAAATAGAGTGCTTATGGAAAACTGGGTGACAAAATGTTTAAGAAGTTAGTTTTTAAACTTCAGTTTTGGGAATTGGTCCTTTTTTATCTATCAATATATGTCAAAACTATGTTGCCTGTGATCATAGATGAAATACGTGCCTTTGCTTAGGTTGCTTTCAGTATGTACTAGTAGCCAGTGTAAAGCTGAGGAGTTTCCTGTATATTGCAGAGATTTTGGAGGGAAGAGGATCTAGGGATCAAACCCAGGGCCTCCGTCGTGGTGGGCAGGTGCTCTACTACTGTGCTCGCAGCCCTTTTCTGCCCCTTCATGGCCAGGAAGCATTTTGCAGGAGGCCCGTTGGTGGTGATTCAGACTCTAAAATTGTGCCGCATTGAGGCTTGTTTTAGCCTTTCTGACTCAACTTATACCAATTATTTATTAAAAAATATAAGCATAACTATTGTGTATTTACCATTGGACTTTTAAAAGCTACTTATGAATAATGCCAACATTTATACAATTATATCCTACCTATTGCAGCTTCATGAATAAACGCTTAAAATTTTCATTCTAAGAGGTTCGATAGCCCCCAGTTTATAATTTGGTATTGTTTGGAAATATGTGCTTATTTGAAAACTACCTGTTTCTACAAGCTTTACACACAGTTGTGATGTATGTCTCAGGTCCTGTGATGAAACTGATTTCTTTTGGAGGTTAGGGATGCTAGTCGCACTAGTAGCACACTGTTTAGCTCCAAAAGCGGCAGGTCCCTTTCTTTACCGATTAGCCTTAGCAACAGCAAATCTGTGAGCACTTACAACATTGTTGCGGCATTATGTCAGAACTGAACGGCAGCATTTAATTTGCATAACTTCAAATGACAGAGTCCTCTGGGATTGTTAGCTAATAGAATTTCAGCTGTTTTGTCAACTTGTGAAAAAACTTTGGAATTAATCTGATGTCTGATTATAAATCAATATTCTTTGATTGTCAGCTAGATAGCACTAATGTAAAACAAATTATGCAAGTATAAATTGTAAGATGTTAGAGCTTAAGAGTTTATTATTATCTACAGGCTTCAGTTTAGCGAGTCAGACTTAATCTTTGCAATAGTTAAATAATTTACCAGCAGAGAATTTATCAGTAATGATAAGCTTCATAAACCAACCAGAAATTAATAGTCTGACTACTGAATAGAGGTATTAAAAATAAAAAATGGGGGGCTGGGGATTCAGCTCAGCGGCAAAGTGCCTGCCTGGCAAGCGCAAGGTCTTGAGTTCGGTTCCCGGTACCGGAGAAAAACAAAACAAAAAATAAATAAATAAATAAATAAAAAATGGGGGGAGGATTGGCAGATTTGCAGTGTTACCTATTACATTTTTAATGACACTAATATTTTTCTTTTTCCTTTTTCTCCTTTGTGTCTCTATATCTTTTGCAAAATCTAATCTTCCTGTTTAACTGTTTTACTTTATACAAATTCCCTTACTCCTCCATGTATCGGTTTGCTTGGTCTTTTCTTACATGTAAAAACAAAATTTATTTGGAAATTCTCTTTGAATGTCCACTCTGTCTTGCTGTACATCTGTCCCCACCTAGTCTTGCCTTCTCCCTTCCAACCCATCGTGCTTTTCTCTTTCTTTTACATTTGTGACTGTGCTTCTTGCAGTACATGTTGGATGCTGCTAGGAAATTACAACCCAATTTATATGTAGTAGCTGAACTATTCACAGGAAGTGAAGACCTGGACAATATCTTTGTCACTAGACTGGGCATTAGTTCCTTAATAAGAGGTAGGCTGAGTGAAGTATATTTCCTATCTAAAATTTTACCTTTTGTCTAAGTAGATTAAAAGGCATTTAAGAGCTTTATGTAAAACGCTTAATAACTTTGTCTATTCATTTAAATAGTCTATATGAAATTTTTTATGTAACTCTTTTTATCAGTAAAAATGCCTGCTTTGGCCAGGAGTGGTGGCGCTAGATTTTTTCTAGACAACCTCAATAAACAAATGCTTCCTACTTGAGCCATTTCTGATGTTAAGTTATGAGGCCCTCCTTGATCATTGAAATTAGCTGACATTTGTTTAATTGCTTAAAAACATACTGTTCTTTATAAAATACATGTGTTCTTTATTTTAAAAATTAGTCATGATAAGAAATCTAATCTCTTCCTGGATGTGTAAGCGGTGGAGATTGATAAAGCGTTCTGTGATACTCTGCAGAGGCAATGAGTGCGTACAACAGTCACGAGGAGGGCAGACTGGTTTACCGATACGGCGGGGAGCCTGTGGGGTCCTTCGTTCAGCCCTGTCTGAGGCCTCTGGTGCCAGCCATCGCCCACGCCCTGTTCATGGATATCACCCATGACAACGAGTGTCCTATTGTGGTAAGCGTCTGTCCAGTTCTGTTTACCTGTTTCACTGAATGTTTTGATATTTGGTCCTCAAATTTTATAGCAAGAATATTCACAGACTTCGAAATAGGATATTAGATTTATAAGTGATTGTAATACCTAGATTTTAGACTATTCTGTTGTTTTAAAACTTAATGTACAATACCTCATAGGTGTGTTTTACCTGTTTACTTCATTATGCTGTAGAACGTCACTGCATTTGAAAGAGTGTAAACGTGCGCTTTGCTTTTGTTTTCTAGCATAGATCAGCCTATGACGCCCTCCCAAGTGCCACCATTGTTTCTATGGCATCTTGTGCTAGTGGAAGCACACGGGGCTATGATGAACTAGTGCCTCATCAGGTTTGTTTGTGTGTTGTTCTCTAAAACCCAGTGGCTTCCAGTTTCGAGCATTTTTATCAGAACTTCTCGTGTAACTAAAATACATGTCTGACCATGTTTTTCCCCAGATATCAGTGGTGTCTGAAGAACGGTTTTACACCAAGTGGAGCCCTGGAGCGCCGCCGTCCAATCGGGGTGACGTTAGTTTCCAGAGTGGGATTATCGCAGCCAGGCGTGCCATCAATGAACTTCATCAAGAGCTTGGAGCCAAAGGCTTTATTCAGGCAAGAGACCTGAGTCGTCTAAGTTTCTTCCTGAAGGTTCTCAGAAAGAGACTTTGCAATTTGAGAACTCACCTCGTTGCTCTTCCCGCTCCTCAGGTGTATGTAGATCAGGTCGATGAAGACATAGTGGCGGTAACAAGGCACTCGCCGAGCATCCATCAGTCCGTCGTGGCTGTGTCGAGAACTGCCTTCAGGAACCCCAAGACCTCATTTTACAGCAAGGAAGTGCCTCAGATGTGCATTCCTGGTATGCAGTCTACAGATTCTTGCTGGGCGTGGGGGCGCACGCCTGTAATCCCAGCACCTGGGAGACTGAGGCAGGAGGGTCACTGAGTTCAAGGCCTGCCTGGGCTACCTAGTGAGTCCAAGGCCAGTCTGCGCTACCTAGTGAGACCCTGTTTCAGTCAGTCAGTGTTATTTTAACTGTGTATGAAATTGCACAGGTACTGTACTGTTACATTGAGTTGTCATTGTATGTCGTGTGACAGTGCGAGTGTGCATGTCTTTGAGATGAATCAGAGATTTCGGGATATATTTTTATTGCAGCAACAAAATCTGAACAGAAATAAATACTGTAGTCCCAAATGTTAACCTTTTTTGAGTGTTTGAAATACTTCCGTTTACGTCTTAATACACAGTGTTCCTTTTAGTTAATTGTATATATAGTGGCCATGTATTTTTTATCCTCTATGCTGTATAAATATTTCTGTATATACGTATGTATACACACGTGTTTGTGTGTAAGTGTGCATTGTTTATGTAAACACAAGTGGAAAACGTCCTAATACTTAAGACTCCCCAAACCCATCCTCGGCCCCATCCTGCCCTACGCCACTCTACTGTCTCAGCCAAATGGCTGTTCTCACTCTTCGCAGGCAGCTTGCTTGTACTTGCACACACGTTGTGTGTCTCCTTCAAGGGCCAGAGCTCTGTCTCCTTTGAGAAGCCTGAAAGTACCCAGTGATCTCGCGCTTCCAAACGTACAACGACCATAGTTATGTCTCTTCTTTGACATCTAATTATAAAGTATGACCAGGCATGGTGGTGCACATCTGTAACCCCAGCGCTTGGGAGGATGAGGCAGGAGGATTGCCATGATTTCAGGACTAGGCTGCATTACAGCGTGAGTTCACGGCCACTTTGATCTACATAGGGAGACCCTGTGTCAAACAAAACGAAAACAAATTGTAACGTGTGTCCCTGAGTAATAATAAGTGTCCCTTATTATTACTTACTTTTTGCTAGGTGTGTATGTTTTCTTACATTATGGTTTTTTGGTTTTGGTTTTTTTGGTTTTTCTCTGGTGCCGGGAACCGAACTCACGACCTTGCGCTTGCCAGGCAGGCGCTTTGCTGCTGAGCTAAATCCCCAGCCCCCATTTTCTTACATTATGGATAGTGCATTACAGCAGACCTTGCTCTTGCACAAACAGCAGCCTCCAAGTTCGCTGACTTAGTGATGAAGAGTCCCATAAAAATCGTACTTTATATGTGTTGCTAGTTGCTAAAGATGTGTAACTCCAGTTTTGAAAATTATCAACCTCAGTAGTTTTAGGGTTAAATATTCACTACAGCTGTTCAAAAATTTATATTCAGTAAGCTTGTCTGATCTTTGCTAATGTTCATGGTTTCCTGTTTGGTTTGTGTTTTTTAGTGCTGGGGGTTGAACTCACACCCTCACGTTTGCTAAACGCAGTTCTGCCACTGAGCTGCTACATTTCCAGCAGCCATAGTTACCCTTACGGAACTCAGACACTGTGCCGTGTTATCACATTTTTTGTCATTGATCATTCATAAAGTATTCCCATTTGTCAGTCTATAAAACTGTGATCTTCACTATATTTCATATTTTGTTTGGGTAGTATTCAATTCCTATATTCTTTTGTATGGTTAACAGTGTTCTTATTTAATTTTTTTAATATGCACTAGGAGTAATCTTTTAAAAATTTGTTAAATTTTACGTTTCTAGGCAAAATTGAAGAAGTTGTTCTTGAAGCTAGAACTGTTGAGAGGAGCGCAGAACCTTACAGAAAGGATGAGCATACTATCAACGGGATGCCGAACATCACCGTGGAGATGAGAGAGCACATTCAGGTATCGGGGCTCGCACTGCTGACTGTGTGACGCTTTAATGACATGGGAATTATTTGTTGAACGGATTTTTATGCATTTTTTTCCAAGCTCAATGAAAGTAAAATTGTTAAACAAGCTGGAATTGCCACGAAAGGGCCCAATGAATATATTCAAGAGATAGAATTTGAGAACTTGTCTCCAGGGAGCGTTATTATATTCAGGTATGTCATTAGCATGCACACTGTTGCGTATCTTGCTGACTTTGAGTAAACTACTCCTGAGGGTTAACCACCTTGTACTGCTCTTGTTTAGGGTCAGTCTTGATCCGCACGCACAGGCTGCTGTTGGAATTCTGCGGAACCATCTGACGCAGTTCAGTCCGCACTTTAAGGCTGGGAGCCTTGCTGTTGACAGCTCAGCCCCTATCTTAAAGGCCCCGTTCGCTTCGTAAGTACGCCTCCTGTTGTGGCGGTTCACCACCTGGAGAACTGGTTACCACTCGCCAGAAGTCAGCAGTTCTTTGTGTATCTGACTGCGACGACGTGAGCCGTTTGTGAGATCCGCGTTATCCTCGCTGCTCAGGGTGGCCCAAGCCCAGCAGGGCCCGTGTCTGTTCTGTCAGTGTTGTGCTGTCACCGTACCCTTTTTGAGCGCGCTCTTCCTCTGAGATAAAAGTACTTACAGGCCTGCGTGTGCACGCACACATGCACGCACACACAGACACACAGGCAGTGTTTCAGGACTTTGGGAGTTAATTGCATACACCATACCATTTAGAACATGTCTGTGTGTATGTGTGTGCACGCATGTGTGTATGTTTTGACAGGGTCTTGCTATATCGTTCAGGCTGGCCTTGAACTCACGTGTAGCCCAGGCTAGCCTCAAACTCGTGGTAGTTCTCCTGCCTCAGCCTCCTAAATGCTGGGATTACAGGTGTGCACCACCAGGCCCAACTTCCACCACCTCTGGCTTCCACCAACATGCCTGGCTCCTGCCACCACACCCAGCTCCATCATTTTTTTGAAGTGTCCAGATACTATTTTATTATAGATGTATGGTAATTAGTGTAGTCACTTTCCATGCCTGGGACAGGTAGAGTGCTAATTATTCACCATTATGTGTGCCATGGTGCGTTCATCCTTAAATGAATACTTAAGTATCCCCTAGCGTGTGGTGCCACACAGCCCTGAAGAGTGTGGGTTTTAAAGTTTCAGCCTAGTTTAACTTCCACTTCACTGAGGTTAGTATGATCACGGGCAAGTTATTTACAGCGTTCTGCATCTTTTGGAAATGGAGTTTATTATACCACCTACCTCTGAAGTTTTGTAACAGTTAAACAGAATAATATATGCAAAGCAACTAACACAGTCTGGGACATAGTAAATGCTTGATGCATGTTTGCTCTCAATAGTTCTAGGAAAAAAGTCCAGAAATGGAATTTTGGAGTTAGACTGTATCATACATGTAAGGCTTTTGACACATACTGCCAGGTCCCCTCCAGAAGGGTTATATTGAGTATCTTCAGATCTGTGTAAGAGTACCCACCCTTACAAATACTGAATATATATTATTATACAGTGATATCTTGGTTCACAAACTTAATTTGTTCTACAGTTTTGGAAGAGATGGCCAAGTTTGTGTTTGTGTGGGAAAGATGGTGATTTTTAGATTTTCTTTTGTTTTTATTGACAGCAAGTAAAATTTTATAGTATTTTTAACCAGTTGCCTTATTCTTCAATTCTTACTTAGTATTGCCTCTAAATTGACTTTGGCTGAACTGAATCAAATACTTTACCGATGTGAGTCAGAAGAGCAAGAAGATGGTGGCGGTTGTTACAACATACCAAACTGGTTGTCCCTGAAATACGCAGGTCTGCAAGGTAAGCGAGCACTGTCAGGTTGGTTTCGGGGCTGGTTTTGCTTATTTTTTTCTTTGTGGAGGTTTTTCACTTCTTCGGTGGGCTAACTCCTATTTGATTTCTCTTGGTGCTATTGTGAATGGTATCATTTTCCTAATTTCTTTCTCAGTGAGTTCATCTTTGGGGTGTACAAGAACACTTTTGATTTCTATGTGTTGATTTTGTGTCCTGCTACAATACTGAATCTGGTTATTAATTCTAAAATCTTCTATATAAAGGATAATGCCACCTGCAAATGATGACTTGACTTCTTCCATTCTTATACATATCCCTTTTGTTTCTTTCTCTTGCCTGATTGCTCCGGTTAGTATTTTTAGGACTGTGTTGAACAGGAGTGGTAATAGTGGATATTCTTGTCTTATTCCTGATATTAGAGGGAAAGCTTTCAGCTTTCCCCCCATTAATTTAATATGACAGATTTGTTATAAAAAACATTTGATCAGGTTGAGATAATATCCCTCTATACCTATTTTCTAAGGGTTTTTTTTAATCATGAATCAGTATTAGATTTTGTCAAAGGCTTTTTCTGCGTCTGTGGAGATGATGATGATGTGGTTTTTATCCTTGATTCTGTTTATGTGATAGATTACATTTATTAATTTGTGTATGTTGAACCACCCTTGTATCTGGGGAATGAAGCCAGCTTGGTCCCTCATGTATGATCTTTTTGATGATTTGTTGCATTCTGCTTTTTACATTTTACTTGCCAGTATCTTCTTGAGGATTTTTGCATGTGAGTTCATTGAGATTGCCTGGAGTTTCCTTTTTTGTTAAATCCCTGTCCAATTTTGGTATCAGGGTAATGCCAGTTTCCAAGAATTAGTTTGGTAGTATATACTCCTTTCCTTGAAGAGTTTGAGGAGTATTGGCATTAGATCATCAGTGAAGTTCTGCTGGAATTCTATGGTGAATCCATCATTTCCTGGGCGTTTGTTGTTTGTTTGTTTGTTTTTTTGTCTTTTTGAGACAGGGTCTTGCTATGCAGTTCAGGCTGGCCTTGAGCTCACTTTGTAGCCCAGGCTGGTCTTGAACTCGCAACAATCCTCCTGCCTCAGCTTCGCGAGTGCTGGGATTACAGGCGTGCACCGCCACACCCTGTCTTGGGCTTTTTTTTGTTGTTGGTAGAGTTTTTATTACTGTCAGTATTTTGTTGCCTATTGTTCATCTGCTCAAAGTTTTTATATCTTCTTGGTTCAATTTTGGTAATTCATTTTTGTCTAGGAATTACACCATTTCATCTAGGTTCTCCAATTTATTGGAGTATTATTTTTTGAAGTAGTTCCTTATAACCCTGTAGATTTTGGTGGTGTCCATTTTGATTCTGCCTTCTGTATTTCTAATTCTGTTGACTGAAGTTTTTTCTTTCCTCTTACTTTTGGTAAGTTTGGCCTGTGGTTTGTCAGTGTTGTTTATCCTATCAGTGAACCAGCTCTTGATTCATGATCCGTTGTATTTTTTTAGTCTCAATTTCATTAATTTCCACTCGGCTCTCTATAATTCATTTCCTCCTGTGAATTTCAGGTTGGATTGTTTTGTTTTCTAGGGACTTGACGTGATCACGAGGTTACTTGGGGTTGCTCACTTCCTTTAATGTTTACACGTCCACAGCTGTAAACCTCCCTCCTCGTATTACATCCATTGTGTCCCATGCACTCCGGCATCTTGTGCTTCAGTTGTCATTTGATTCTAGAAACTTCTTTATTTCACCCCTGATTGCTTCTGTGATCTGTTGATTATGTAGTAACGTACTGTGCAATTTTTATGTGTTAATGTGTAATTTCTGTGGTTTCTTTTCCTATTGATTTCTAGCTTCATTCCACTATGATTTAATAATATGCAGAAGATTATTTAAATTCTTTTGTATGTATTTAGGCATGCTTTGTGTCCTAAGATATGGTCTATTTTGGAATAAACTCCATATACTAATGAGAAAAATGTATATTCTTTTGTCATTTAATGAAATGCTCTGTAGCTATCTGTTAAATCCATTTGGTCAGTGCTGTGGTTTAACTCTGGTATTTCCTGTTAATTTTTTCTCTGACTGAACTGTCTAATTGCAACAACAGAAAGTTGAGGTCTCCTGCTATGATGGTATTAGAATCTGTCCATTTATGTCCAGTAGTTTTTGTTTTATGAAGGTGCGTATCACTATACAAATTCTTCCTCTCTGTGAAACTGCTTGTATGATTTGCTTAAATGCTGCTGAAATATTAGTGAATCTACCACTTCTTAATGTGAAAAGATACAGGCTAATAAATATTTTTCCTTCTGGATACCTTCAGGCAGAAGAGCTACCCCAGCTGCCTTTGAATGTATTATAACATTAAAATGCAAATTAGTAAAAATAAAGCCAGTCCCGGAAGTTCCGGCTGTGCGGAGAGTCCTCCTCAGGATGTGTCTGTGTCCTGGCTCGGCCGGTACTTCCACACCTACCTCCTGCCCTGACAGCTGTCACCGTGACGGGCGGCCCTGCCGCCGGCCTCTGTGTGCAGCCCTCTCCTTCGGGGCTGTCACAGTCTTGGTCATGGGGACGGTGACTCTGCCAGTAAGGTAGCATGCTTTATCTTTGAATTTTCAGGATTAATGTCCGTATTGGCAGAAATAAGACCAAAGAATGACTTGGGACATCCTTTTTGTGGTAATTTGAGATCTGGAGATTGGATGATTGACTATGTCAGTGGCCGGCTTATTTCACGATCTGGAACGATTGCTGAAGTAAGTACAGCTATATTCTAATCCAAGTAAATAATCACGACCACAGGAAGAATTACATGACCATTTCATGTATAATACTTACGTGGTTTTTGAACATTTTCTTCCCTACATCACCTTTCAGTTGTAGTAAGTGGAAATGTTGTTAATGAATTAGCAGATAAGAAAGTTACATTTCAGATTCACCTCCTAAAATATACTGTAGACACACTGAATTAACCTTTAAAATTGCTTTTGGGACAGGTTGGCAAATGGTTGCAGGCCATGTTCTCCTACCTGAAGCAGATCCCACGATACCTTATCCCGTGTTACTTTGATGCTATATTAATTGGTGTATATACCACTCTTCTGGATACAGCGTGGAAGCAGATGTCAAGGTATATCCAAAAAACTTGAGTAAATACACGTTTATGTAGAAAATTAATACAGAGTTATTTTATATGTATTCTTCATATATATGTATACACACACACTCTTAAAAGAACAGAACATGAGGAATTGTCATAGGTATAGATTGAAAATGTTTTTAAGTAGTGGGTTTATCAGTATCTTCTAGTCTGGAACATACAAAAACAAACTTACATATTAAAAACCTGTTCCAAAACTGGGCATATGGTGCATACCTGTGATCCTGGTACTTGGGGGCTGAGGCAGGAAGATCTCTAGTGCAAGGCTAGTGTAGGCTATACAGCAAGTTCAAAACCAGCTTGGTCTGTATAGTACATTTGAGACTAGCCTGACCTATGTGACAAGACCCTATCTCAAAAAGTGAGGGGAAAGTGGCACTTGCATGTAATCCTAGCACTTGGGAGGCTGAGGCAGGAGGATCACCGTGAGATCAAGGCCAACCTGGGCTACATAAGTTCAAGACAAGCCTGCACTACATAGTGAGACCCTCTTATCAAACAAAAAAAATGTTCTGAGATGAATCAGTTTTATATCACTTGTTTCTGTTCATTCACTGACTTGTTAATTGATAAAAATTTTAAAATATATACACATAGGTTTTTTTTTCTTTCCTTTTTTTTTTTTTGTTTTTTTGTTTTTTGTTTTCAGATAAGTTCTCACTGTGTAGTCAGGCTCTCTTCTTGAGCTAAGTCACTTTGTAGTCCAGGCTGGCCTCAAACTCACAGCAATCCTCCTGTCTCAGCCTCCTGAGAGTTTTTTATTTTCATCATTAGAAAGAAAATTTAATTTGCTATTTTTATTAATCAAAATTGCTTTTTATGATGCAATTTCCTAAAATGAATCTGTGAGAGCCACTAAACTGGTCGGGACATCATTTCAGCAAAATGAAACCTCACTCTACCATTTGTTTTATAACAGGCCTCAGGCTTAACGCTGGCTGAAATGATGGGTGACGTAAAAGCACTTTTGAAATTCAGTCAAATGCAACATTTGTTTTTAAACTATATTGTGAAATTTTACACATTTGTGTAGAGACATCATTTGAAGGGAAAAACCCAAGCAAAATAAAAACTGCTAAAAATTTTTGTCTTTCTGGAATAACATTTTTAATTTGTTACAGCTTTGTTCAGAATGGTTCAACATTTGTGAAGCACCTCTCGCTGGGTTCGGTCCAGATGTGCGGGGTAGGAAAATTCCCGTGTCTCCCGCTTCTGTCGCCTTCGCTGCGGGACGTGCCCTACAGGCTCAACGAGGCCACGGGAGAGCGGGAGCAGTGCTGTGCCTCCCTGGCCGCAGGTGAGGGGTTTCACAGGAATACTTGGGGGAAATGAGTTTCTAGTTTATGAAGTTACTCAGCATTTATGTTACTGCGTAGTAAACTTATAAAAATAGTCACCGTACGTGCTATTCAGTTACAGCTGTTCACCGGGCATGTGTGTGTTTTTTCTACTTTGATGGGCTAATTCTTTTCTTCTGTAGATGTGTTTTCCAGCTGTTGACATTTCATATTATTTTAAACCAAATATAAATTACTACCTTTTCCTTATATTTCTCACCCAATTTAAAAAAAAAATAAAACCAACCTTGCAATTACTCTAAGACCATTTGAAGGTATTCTGAAAGTTGCAGGACACAAAACAAATGTTAAGAGCCAGGTGTTGTGCACACCTGCAATCCCAGCACTCGGGAGGCTGAGGGTCGTTGCAAGTGTGAGACCAGCTTGGGCTACAAAGTGAGCTCAAGGCCAGCCTGAACTGTATAGTGAGACCCTGCTTCAAAAAAGACAAAAAAAAAAAAAGTTAAGTAAATTTTGTTATGTATCTACTTGCAGTCGGATACTTTCAGCCAAGTTTACTGGCATCCTTTCCTGCAAATAGATTTAAAATGTTAATCAAGTAAGCAAAATAGGCTAAAGAATAGGCTTTTCTTTTTTTTACAAATCTCCACTACATTTCTAGAAAGCATTTAGTATTTAAGGCCACTGAAGTTTAGAGCTTTCAAAACTAATATATATTAAAAAAAAAAACTAATATATAAAAAGTATAGAAAGAAAATAATATTTGTGTGTGTCTCCCTGCATTAAATTTAAATTTCCTTAAATTTACATCTGCTTAGATCAGATGAAAGACTTCATAGTACCCAACAATTAAAATAGAAATTATTTCTTCATTTAGAATGGTCATAAAAATACAAAAAACTTGGTTTTAGGTCTGGGGATGTAACTCATTGGTAGAATAGTATGCATGAAATCCTAGGCTTAATCCCCCACTCCACAGAAACATTTAAACTGAAAAAAAAAAATTTTTTTTTTTTTTTGGTCTCTTTCAGACAGGGTCTCACCATGCAGTTCAGGCTGGCCTCGAGCTCACTTGTGGCCGAGGCTGGTCTCGAGCTCCTCTGACGATCCTGCTTCAGCCTCCTGAGAGCTCGCATGACAGGCATGTGCCACCATGCGCGGCAAAAAAAAATTTTAAAAAGGAATAAAATCAAAACTTGTAATTTTATAATTGTGTTTCACATTTCACTTGACTGATGTCTTTCTAGTGCCGTTGCTCCTCTGTGAACCTATCCATTGTACATGAAACTGAACTGGCCCATTGTGGGAAGAAACGGAGGTGTGACAAGTTTGATTTTGGAGGCTACTTTTTAAAAGCTTATTCTATAAAATAGTTATCTTCATCTTTTCAGTTGTATGCTGCTGTTGTTAAACACCCCCCAGAACTTACACATTTATTTATAAGTCATACTGACATGAATTACAGTATTTGCTACATGTGTGTATTAAGTACAATAAATAAATATAGATAGATAGTTTGGTGTTTGGTTCTGGTGTCCTAAGAGAGTGTTTTGCCTAACCAACACTGACAAAAAAATAGGACTATACTGAGATTTACAGATAAGGTTTTTAGGGATTCATTTTTAAAAACTGGATGGAAGGGAAAGTTTTCTTTGATGATGATATTAGATTTTCTTAATTCTGAACTTTGATAATAACTGACAAAGTAGAAATCACTGCACATGCTGGGCGTGGTGGCACATACCTGCAGTCTCAGCACTTCAGAGACTGAGACAGAAGGGCCACTGTGAGTCTGAAGCCAGCCTGGGCAACATAAGGGGCTCAGAGTGGATCCTGTCTCAAAAAACAAACAAAAACAAGGAGAAATTACTCAAAGTGTGTGTGATCTACAAGATGGGAAGCCTGAGAGGTCAGAAAGTTAGTATAAACATCTCCATGTGTCAGAGCTAGAGATCTTATAGCCCTTACTTTGCAGCAAAGACAGCCTATGTATATTTTAGGACAAACCAATCCAAACTCACCCTCAAATCTATGTCTACACATGTCACATATGAGAAGTTAAGTGGGGTAAAGTACTAGGAAGTCTGCACAGAATATTATGTATGTGTTAAGTACTGTCATTGTCCTCATCATCGACGTTATCAACTATCAACCGTATATAACACTTAGTGTGTTTGGGGAGATTTTGTCCTGCCACATTGGAATTAATGTGGGAAAAGGTATAGTGTTGCCCTTAGCTCTGATCTTTCTTAATGGAAGAAACTAACCTCCAATCCCCTATAAAGTGAAGGCCCCCAGAATTTAAACTGAGCAGAAATTTAAATTGTGAAGTACACTTAGCAATGCCAAAATTTTATTTTGGTCATCCTTTCACTTCTGAATTTACATTTTAGCATTGGTCTGTTATTCATTCAACAAATATTTATAGGGATATATAGTATAAGAGTTACGGTTTTCAGTGAATGGATAGATGTACATGATAAGGAAAGCAGATAAAGTCTCCGTCATCGTGGGTCTTACTTTCTGTTGGGGAGATACTGTCACGCAACGAACAGCTAGCAGTAAGTAAAATGCAGTGCTTACCCAGCATGAGTAAAGCCCTGGCTTGAACCCCCAGTATCGAACGCAATCTAAAAGTAAAATTTGAGGTTACTTTCCAGGAATCATCCTATTTTGCCTCATGCATAAATGTTGTTACTTGGAACGTTTACATTATTTAGCATGTATAGTCCTTGTTTTCATCTATAAAAGCTGTTTCTATGAAAATGTAACACTTTTTAAAAGTAATTTTTAATTGCTAAAAATTATAAGCATTGTGTACAGAGTTTTTTTTGTTTTTTTTTTTTTTTTTTGGTTTTTCTCCGGTACCGGGAACCGAACTCACGACCTTGCACTTGACAGGCAGGCGCTTTGCCGCTGAGCTAAATCCCCAGCCCCATGTGTACAGAGTTGAAGTTGTATTAAATTAATGGAAATTTAGTAATAAATTCTGAGTGTAGGATATAGATTAATAAACATATTTAGCTCGGTATCATTCGGGTAATTAGTTCATATTCAGATTTATGTATTGTCCTGAAGTCAGCACAGAATCTTTTTAGGTTTATAATTAATAAATAATATATTGTGCTACTTTATGTGTTAAGTATTTGATTTCTGATTTTAAGCTTTTAATTTGTTAAAAGCAACTTTATCTGTGTTTAAAGACACATTCAAAGGGGGCAGGGAGGGACACGCTTGTAATCCGTGCCCCGGAGGGTGGGGCGGGAGCAGCACCACAAGTTCAAGGCCAGCCGGGGCTGCGTACTGGGCTTCAGTTAAGTGTCCCTTTCTAGCACAGGTGCTCAAGGCTGAGGGTCGATAACCCAGTGGCAGAGTGCTCGCCGAGCATGTAACGCCCTGGGTTTGATCCCTAGCACCACGAAGGGGTGAAGGGGGAACCTCAGCGACCCGTACTTAATCTCCTTGGGGTCACGTGCTCCTTTAAGAATCTGATACGACTATAGACCCTTATTCCATAAAAGTTAATCTAAGTGTGGACATACGTGTTGCAGATAGTTTAAAAGGGTCTGCCAACTCCTTGTAACCTGTCCTTTTACCCCAGGTTTAGAGACTGTTCCGTGCTAATGTTGTTCATAGCTCTGCAGGTGACATGAGTAATGTGTTACTTTGTTGTCTCTTCTGTTAGGCTTGCCTCATTTTTCTGCTGGTCTTTTCCGCTGTTGGGGAAGGGATACGTTCATTGCACTTAGAGGTCTTTTGCTGGTTACTGGACGCTACTTAGAGGCCAGGTAAGAGATCGGAAAAGTTACCGTGCAAGCTTATGTCCCAGTGCTTTGTACCCGCTCTTCACACGTCTTCCTTCCCCACCTGCTGTCAGCAGCATGTGAGAGCTGTTTTCCTTAGCCGTTTCTATTTTTCATACATTCATTTAATAGGGTCATGGAAGATAATTTTAAGAGAGGAAAAAATCCTTGAGGTTACTAAATTCTGTTCTTTCACATTAAGGTCAGGCTGTCTTCAGTATTTGCAAACTTATTTCAATAAAACAAAATTTGTGACTATTCTGTGCCTCGTATAACAAAGGCAGTGCTGGTTCTCTGAGTCTTACAGAAAGATAAGTCAGGTTTCCCTGTATTTGTTTTCAGGCCTTGCGACCTCCAGTTTCATGTTTGCTAGACCGAAAGCAGTGTTCTCTTCGGTCTGGGGAGCGCGAGCAGACACGAGTGGTCGTAGGGCTCCGCGGCAGCGCGTCTCGCTGTGCTGTGCGCAGAGCAGTGCTGCCGCCGCCCCGGAGAGTTGGTCAGAAAGGCAGGCCCCGGGCCTGCGCAGACCGCTGAGCCCCGACCTGGAGCGGGGGCCAGCAGGGGTGCTGGCGGAAACTTGTCTTCGCAAGGTTCCCAGTTACCAGCAGCCTGAGCGTGAAATTCGAAGCACAGTTCTGCAGGGTAAAACTGAGCTTGAAGCGTTTGCTGTATATGGCACCTTATTTTGGTCCCCTCAGAAGAGTAGCTGAAATTGCCCTCTTTAAGTACCAGCAGTATTTTTTCTTCTCACAGGTGGAGTGATGGGCATTAGACACATAGAATTAATAAAATTTCTGAAAGGTTTAGCTGAAAATCACTAATGGCTGGACATCTTTCAATGACTTTTTCCAGGATCGTACAGATAGCAAACCTAAGATTTAGACCTCAGCCCTCTTGTTCTGTAGTAATTTCATGTTCTTTCTGGAATAACATGTCCTCCCACAGGCTCAGTTTTCATTTGGTATGTGATAGTAGAACGATACCTTCAAAGATAAACTGTCTTTGACCAGTTTCTAAACATGTTTTTCAACGTTAACTTGTACCTATTTGTTTTCTTACACATTTGCTTTGCTCTTGATGGCTGCTTTTTTAAAATAATACAATTCATGTTGATAGTGACTTGGATTTTGAAATGCTGTGGATTTCAAACATAGATTCTAGGGCTAGACATACAGCTCAGTGGCATAAGCGTCTCCCTGGCAAGTGCAAGGTCCTGAGTTCAATTCCCAGTCCAAAAAAAAAAAAAAAAAAGATTCCAGAGCTGTGAGGGACTGGAAAACTGCCCAATTCCTAACTCCACAGATGAAAACGCTCTTCCAGAGAGGGAAGTTCGCAGATTGTTAGGGGAGCGGCGACGGCTGGCGTCGGGGTTTCTGACCCTATCGTGGTCATAATGTGACAGAATAAGCATTGATTACAGCAAGTAAGGCCGGGTTAACATGCGTCCGACATAGAATCATGGAAAGTGACCGTTTTTTGTCTCCATCTGTTCGTTTTCATTTCAAATGACCTGTGGAACGGCGTTGTTCCAGGAACATTATCTTGGCGTTCGCTGGCACTCTGCGGCACGGTCTCATTCCCAACCTCCTCGGTGAGGGCGTGCACGCCAGATACAACTGCCGGGACGCCGTGTGGTGGTGGCTGCAGTGTGTTCAGGATTACTGCACATGCGTCCCGAACGGGCTGGACATTCTCAAGTGCCCGGTTTCCAGGATGTACCCAACGGACGACTCTGCGCCTTTGCCTGCTGGCACACTGGTAAAAATAATTCCTTCCTAAAATAGGGTTTCTGTTTTTAATGTAAAATAAATATAACTAAGAGTCTCAATCTTAAGCATTATTCAGATATCAACATGTATGTAGCTCGTGTTGTCCTGTGAGAGATGGCAGAGTTAAGACTGCTCCTTGCCTAAAGAGCAGGCAACATGGTAGGCGAATCGACGTGTCGATACGTACTAGAACCGTCGCAGGACGTCACAGGGAAGTGCTGTGTAGTCTCATGAGAGACTCGCGGGGGGTCAGGGAGGGCTCCAGACGGTAGCGAGAGCTCTGCCTGCCTGAGCCTCCCGTGGTCCGCACGGGTTTAGGAGAGCCGAGGCGGGTGCCCGGTAGCGAAGAGGCGGGCCGCGAAGCACAGAGCACTGGGCTGGTTGGGGCGCGGTGCGGCCCGGTGCGGTTCCGGCCCAGGCTGTGGCGGAGAGGCGGTAGGAGGAGGCCTTGCCGACCAGTCCAGGACCTCAGAGTTTATCGTGGGCACTGGATGAACATTTTGTTTTAGTTTTTTCCTCAGTGAGAAATGTACAGAGATCAGACTTGGGCTGCTTCTAACCTGCTTTTGTTATAGTTTATTTGTGTGGCTTCGGGCAAGGCTGAAGGCTCTGGCAGGGCCCGTGCGTGCGTCTCCAGGATGTGTGTATCGTGAAGGACTCAGAGACATGGACCATAAGATTTTTATCTGTCTTCTGATGTCAGCTGAGACATTTCAGTGACATGGACTCATGTTGCCAGGAGGATATTTATTTTGCACATAACTAATTTTGTCCATAATTCGTCAAAACAATTCCACATAGGCCGGGCGTGGTGGCGCACACCTGTCATCCCAGCATTCGGGAGGCTGAGGCAGGAGGATCGCTGCGAGTTCGAGACCAGCCTGGGCTACAAAGTGAGCGCAAGGCGGGCCTGAACTGCATAGCAAGACCCTGTCTCAAAAAGACCAAAAGAAAAATTCTGCAGCATATTTAAAATGTTTTATAACTTCTACAATTACTAGCAGAATTTTTGAGAGTTTTGATTTTAGTTAGTGTTTTTTTAATGAAATATAATTAAATAAAACAGGACTGTAAACATTTTGCTTCTGACCATTTTCACCTTCTTTTTAAAAGTATAATTTTATATCCTATACATCATCCTAGTGTAACATTTATTCGTTATATGGATAAAGAGGATTACTTACTCTGTATACTTACTAAGAATATTTTCTGAAGTCACTATAGATACCCAAATTTAAGAGCATCACTTTTATGCATAATTTACGAAATTTATCCAATTACCTGTGTATGCAAGTAAGATCAGCTACACTAAATTAAGTGCTAGTATTTATTACTCTTGCAGAAACTATACAAGCTAATTAGATTTATTGTCATGTATCAGTAAATGTATAAATTACTTCATGTCAAATATCTGAATAGTTAAAAGTACTAATACTAAATACCCATGTGCCACACTGCGTTATTGGATGGCTGGAGCACACCTCCAGCCACCCCGATCCAGAGGAAAGTATGTTTCCACGTTACTTTATTGTGGGGCTTGGGGTACTGTAAGGAGGAGTGTACTTTAACAAAAGTAATGTCCATGATGTCTTGAACAGGATCAGCCACTGTTTGAAGTGATACAAGAAGCGATGCAGAGGCATGTTCAGGGCATACAGTTCCGGGAAAGAAACGCTGGTTCTCAGATCGATCGAAACATGAAGGACGAAGGTACATACCTCAGTCCGTGGTGAGAATGTACTGTGCTGTGAAACTAACCCTTGTAATCGTCCGTCTGCGTCACGGATATTAGTGTGTACAACCTCAGGAAATAACAGTGGATGGATTAACACAGCCGGGCCTTACAGCCCGCACCTGTAGCCCAGCTGCCCAGGCGCCGAAGCTGACTGCGAGTCCCAGGCCAGTGTGGGCAGCGCAGCGAGAGCTTGTGTCCAGGTGGAAGGTCAGAAGGGCTGACGATGCGGCGCCGTGACCGCACACCCTTGGCTTCATCCCCAGAACCACAAAAAAACAAAATGTAACACATTTCATGAGCTCAACTTTTTTTTTTAGTTTCCAGAGGAAAGATAGGACCAGGGATATAGCTCACCAGCACAGCTCCTGCCTGTCAAGTGTGAGGTCCTGAGTTCGCTTCCCGGTACCAAAAGCAAACAAACAGGGGAAAGATTAAGTTTTACATCTTCTTCAGCCATTTTCAAGGATAGTACGGGTGGTTGCAGTTTATGATCACAGTAGTTATTGCTATGAATTAAGTGCCTACTGTGTGCTGGGCATTGCTCTAGCCTCCTTACCTGAGTTATTCCCAGTTAACACTCCCAAGAATGTTGCAGATGAGGTGTGTTGTTCCCATTTTTTTGTTTGGTTTTCTTTTTTGGGACAAGGTCTCACTGTGTAGCCCAGGCTGGCCTAGAACTCACAGGAATCCTCCTGCCTCAGCCTCCCAAGTGCTGGGATTACAGCCATGTGCCCCCCACCCAGCTATTGTTCTCGTTTTTACTGACGGAGAAATCTCAAGAGCAGCCAGCTCGGTGTCACACGGCAATCAGGTGGCCCAGGTAGGAGTTCAGTCACAGTCTGTTCCTGTGGCCTTGGCTCACATAAAGTACCCTTTGTAGGAAGGGTTTTCTTGTACGTCAGGTAAAAGTAAACAGCAGTTTGTAGAGCTCTTTTGAGTTCATCATAATTCCCATTTTACAGCTTGCTGTCATTACCAGCCAGTGCAAGACTAATGGTTTCATTTTTCTCACTGCTCTCACTCATTCTCATGAGTTTGCTGTATATTAGTTTTGTAAACACATACCAGACATGTAAAATATATATTGTTTAGTATGCATGCAGTTTTTTTTACTTTTGAATTTTCAAAAGAATTAGAGATTCATGAAAGCTTCAAAAATACTGTGTAGAGTTCTGTGACGCCTTCACCTGGCTTCCCCCAGCAGAATCTCTTAAGTAACTGAAGCACAATATCAGTCAGAAAATTGGCACCAGTGCAATACTTGTCACTAGGTTGTGGGCTCCGTTGAGTTTGCACGGTTCTACATTCGTACATCCGTGTCTGGGGGTGCGTGCGTGCGGCTCTGCAGTCTCACCCCACATGTGGCTTCACATGGAGTCAAGATGCAGAGCCAGTCCCTCGCCGCGGAGATCTTCGGGTGCCCCTTACACCACGGCCACCGGCTCAGCCCCAGCCCTGGTCTCCAGTGACCCCTCGTCTGTTTTGCCTCTCTCTAGTTTTGTCACTTGGAGAATATCGTATAAATTGAATCATATAGTTTGTAATCTTTTGAGCGACTTTTGTTTCTCCCAGTAAGCATCATGCCCTTGAGATCTGTCCCAAGTTATTGCATGTATCAGTAGTTGATGCTTTTTTATTGCTGAGTAGTACTCCCTTTTAGGGATATGTCAGTTATTTAACTATTCATCAACCGAAGGACACTGGGTAGTTTCCATGTCTTGATGAATGCAAAATGAATATTTCTTATGTAGATTTTTGCATTTATAGGTTTCATTTCTCAGAGATAAGTGTCCAAGAACATGAATCAGTCCTACAGTAAGTACATGTTGTACTTGATGAGAAATACAGGCTATTTTCCCGACTGCTTGTGCCATTCTACAGTCCCACTAAGCTGGATGCCAGGGCGTATGCCTGTCCCAGCACTCGGGAGGCTGAGGCAGGAGACCGTAGTGAGTTCCAGGCCAGCCTGGGCTACACAGTGAGCTCAAGGCCAGCCTGAACCTCATAGCGAGACCCTGCCTCAAAAAGACAGAAAAAAAAAAAAAAATACAGTCCCACTGCAAACTGGAGCAGTCCCCTTTCTCCAGGGCTTTCCTCTCACCCTGTCTTAGCGGCCCTGCAGGCTGGTCAGGCCACTGTACAGCATGGCTTTAATGTGCATTTCCCTAAGGTTCGACGCTTCAGGTGCTTTCCTGCCGTCCGATTTCCCTCTTGGCTGAAGTGGGTGTGACTTGTGCCCGTTTTCACATTGATTACTGGAGGTTCTTAGCTACTGAGGATCACTTAATACTGTCGGGAATTTCCGATAGTGACGTTTGCGGGTTCGGCCGTTTGTGAGTGTGCAGTTCCGTGGCTTTAGGTGCGCTCACACTGTCGAGCAGCTGGCACTGCCCGTCTGCGCGGTTCACCTCCGTCCCGCGCTGAGACTGCCCAGGAGGCAGCAGCTCCTCCCTGCGCCTTTCCCCGGCTCTGGGGAATTACTCTTCTCACTGCTGTCCCGTGACTTTGATCAGTTCAGTTTCTGTTGCTATAACCAAATACCCATGGCTAGGTACTTTATAAAGAAACAGTGGGTTGTTTATTTAGCTTACAGGCTTCAAGGCTGAAAGTCTAAGACCAGTGAGCCCTGCCGGTTGGACCTCTGCCGAGAGCCCCTGCTCCATCTCATCACGGCAGGGGGCCTCCTGACTGTGAGGTGATAACAAGATAGGAAGCCGGAGAGATCCAGGGTCAGACTCCCTGTCCTGTAACGGCTCATTCTCGTGGAAACTCACTCGGTGAGAGCGTCGTGAATCTCCAGAGACCAAACCATCTTTCCGTAGACCCAGCCTCTTCCGACTTCCACGGTGTGAGCTGGGCGTGGTAGCGCTCGCCTGTAATCCCAGCACTCCAGAGGCAGAGGCGGGAGGATTGCTGTGAGTTCAAGGCCAGCCTGGACTATATAGCGAGTTCAAAGCAAGGCTAAACTATATGGCGAGACCCTGTACCAAGCTTCCAAAACATGAAGCTGGGTGGGTGAGGGCAACAAACGAGGGCTTCTGCATACCATAAATGAAAGGACATTTGTGCCTTGTTTCTGACTTTCTTCATTAAGTGTACATTTAGAAGGACTTAACCGGGTTGTAGTATATGTCAGAATTTCATCCTTTTTTTAGCCCTTTTTTATTGTGATAAAAATCTAAAATTAGGGGCTGGGGAAATAGCTCAGTGGCATAGCACCTGCCTGGCAGGTCGTGAGGTTGTGAATTTGATTCCCAGTACCAAGTAAAATCTAAAATTGAATTTACTGTCATAACCATTTTGAAGTGTATAGCTCAGCAGTGTTAAGTGTATTCACATTGCTGTGCAGAAGATTTCTAGAACTTTTTCATCTTGGAAGGCTGGAACACCATCCCATTAAACATTAGTTCTCCTCTTCCCTTCCCACTCCCCCAGCCTTTCTGCTTTTTGTTTTTATGATTTTTGGGTTTTTTTTTGTAACAGGAATCAAACTCAGGACCTTGTACTTGCCAGACAGGTGCTGTGTTTTCATGATTTCAACATTAGATATTTCATACAAATAAAATCATACAATATTTGTCCTTCTATCCTAATCTATGTCACTTACCCTAAATTTGTTACAGAATTTCCCCCTTTTTCAAGGCTGCATAGTTTTTCGTGCCTGTGTATATACCACATTTCCTTTATCCATTCTTCTGCCTGTACACATTTGGTATACTTCCCCTTTTTATCTGTGTGAGCAGTGCTGCACTGAACGTGGTTGTGCAAATATCTTCTCAAGATCTTGCCTTTTTAGTTCTTTTGGATATACATCCAGGGGTGTAATTGGTAGATCACGTGGTGATTTTATTTCTAAATTCTGAGGGGCCTCTGATGCTTTCATAGTGGCTACCCCACTCGCACTCACTAACAGTGCACAAGTGTCCCGGGTGCCCTGCTTTGCTCCGCGGCCGGCCTGGTGGGTTTGAGCGGGCAGCTTGTTGTAGTTCTGATTTTCATTTCCTGCGAGGTCCGTGGGTTGCGGCTCTGTGGGTTGCCCGCGACAGCCCGGGGTCCTCCGGCGCCGTTACCTGGCTTGTGCCTGTGAGTCGGCCTCGCGCTCTGCAGAGCCAGTTCGCTCTTCGTGTTTAGTTTTCCAGGTAAACTTCGCCCTGGTTTTTGAGGGAAAGAAAAAGGTTACCGAGGTTGGGCAGCTTTTCCTGTGCTCGTTGGCCACAGGTGCACCTCTTCAGAGGTCCGCTCAAGCCCTCTGCCCATGTTCTAACTGGGTGGTTTGGGGTTTCTGTGTGGGGTTGTAGGGGTCTTTGTATGTTCTAGATACAAACCCGTCTCAGACGCGCTTTGCGAGTGTCTCCCCCTGCACTGTAGGTTGTCTTTCTACAGTTGTGAGAGTGTCCTTTGATGCGGAAGTTTCTAACTTTGATGAGCCTGGTTTATTTATTTGTTCTTTCGTTACCCATGCCTTTGGCCACACGTTACGAAGCTTTTGTCCTGTGTTTTCCTGTGAAAATTGTATAGCTTCAGCTCCTATATTTAGATCCTACATCCGTCTTGAGTTAATTTTCATATCTAGTAACAGTCGCTGATACTTTAGTCTAAGAAAAGTCAGTAGAAGTAGAATTCATGTTGAAAGTCTTTTGTGATATCTCTGAATTCTTTTAGTTTTTAAATTATGAAATATTTCAACTTACAAGATGCAGTGTAAAGTTTACTTTGGAACCTAGCACTGAGATTAAGTGAGTATTAATATTTGGCTATGTTTCCCTCACATATTTTCATGTTACTTTGAAAAGAACTATATCAAATATATCCAAAGCTTCGTTTCTCGTTTTTCCTTCTTTTCTAGAATTAATGACTATCCTATAATCAGGCTTACTTTTTTTTTTTTTTTGGTTTTTTGGGACAGAGTCTTACTGTGTGGTTCGAAATGGCCTTGAACTCACTACATAGTCCAGGCTAGCTTCAAATTCATGGGGATCTTCCTGCCTCAGCCTCCCAAGTGCTAGGATTATAGACATGTGGCACCACACCCAATCAGCTTACTATTTCCATGTTGTTTTTATACTTTACGTGCTTATGTGTTTCAGTGTCCGCAAATCACATGTACTGTATCATGTGGTATTTACTCAGTGTGCTCCTGTAATATATACTGTGCGTAAACTAATGTAGTTTCAAAATTTACACAAATAATGCATTAGACATAGCCATGAAGACAGACATAGTTGTATGTACTAGTACTTATGTTTTAAGTTTTTACAGAAAAGATCTCTTATTATACATATCCTTTTGTACCTTGTTTAATCATTTTGTCTTAGTAATGTATCAGTTTTAACTCATGCAAATCGTTTGTTGATTTTTTTTTTTTTCCTTTTTTTTGGTACCAGGAATCGAACTAGGACCTTGCACTTGCCAGGCAGGCACTTAGGCCGCTGAGCTAAATCCCCTGCCCCCTTTGTTGATTTTAAATTATGAGAGTTTCCCAGTGTATAGACACCAGTATTCATTCACTCCTCTACTGAGCACTCCTTTATTTTTTTCCTAATATAAACAGCGTTACAATGAATATTCTGATACACTTCTACCTGTGCACATCGGTAAGAGTTTCTCTAGAGCATATGTAAAGGTAAATGAAATCGTTACATGGCTGAACATACACATCTTCAACTTGTAAGGTGTTGTTACCAAACGGATCTTCAGAGTAGTTGTCCTGGTTTATTATATCCGTTTAAACTTTTGTAAATGTTTTAAATAAAATGTTTACTTTTATATACTATATAATATATGTTTATTATAAAATGTTTCGTGTTTTGTTTTTTTGGGTTTTTTTTGTCTTTTTGAGACAGGGTCTCGCTCTGCAGTTCAGGCTGGCCTCGAGCTCACTTTGTAGCCTAAGCTGGCCTCAAACTCGCAAGGATCTTCTGCCCCAGCCTCCCTAGTGCTGCAATTACAGACATGCTCCACCGTGCCCGGCAAAAACTTGTCATTAAAATGAAAATGTTTGATTTTACTTTTCTAGGTTTTAATATAACTGCAGGGGTCGATGAAGAGACGGGGTTTGTTTACGGCGGAAACCGCTTCAACTGCGGCACGTGGATGGACAAGATGGGGGAGAGCGACAGAGCCAGGAACAGGGGCGTCCCGGCCACGCCCAGGTAGCTCGCGGTAACAGTGCTTCTGCGCCGCACCCTTTTGCCTTACCACGGCCTTTGGGTATTTTGCTTGTGTGTTGGTGCGGGGACTCAAACTCAGGACCTTGCGCCCGCCAGGCAGGTGCTGCAGCGCTGGGCTCTGTCCCTGGCCCTGCCGTGTTTTTAAAGAACGCTCACACTTGCGGAATTCTTTACTCTGTTCGCCGTGAATTCTTTGTGTGAAATCAGCCGTGGTCTGCTTCCTCCGCGGCCCCGCTTCCTTGTCCATTCACCCCCTGCGCTTCCCATTGTGAAATCGCACGGCCCTCTGGGTCTACGTCATCAGGCAGCTCTGCGCTTCTGGAAGGTAGGGTGTGGCTCGCAGCCCCTCAGGAGAGCAGTACGTTCGTTTCGGCGGTGAACCTTTCCGCTGACCTCACTCCAGTGTAAGCACTGCAGAGTGCCTGTCTTTTGCTGACTCGTGTTCTGTCTTTTACAAAATTTTTCACTTCTTGAACTTTTTCTCCCTGATACTTGTTGTTTATCCCAGAATTTATCATCTAAGGGCTTTTTGTGATTTCAGAAGCTTTCAGCAAACAGCTTCTGCTGTGTTAAACTAAGGGGCTGTTTCCTTATTCACAGTTGTATCTTCATTTAGCATTATTCAAAAACCAGCGACGAGCTGCTGTAAGAGCTGGAGTGTAGCTCAGTGGTACACCACTTACCTAGCGTGTGTGAGGCCTTGAGATTGACCTGGAGCACATTAAACAAAAGAGTTGCTATCTTTACTTTGTAAATTCTTTTACAAGCCTATTTTTGGGGCACATGTTTAGATTTTATATTTTTTTATTTTCCTTAAAAATGAGCTTCTGAAATGTTAGAAAAATAAACAGTGGCAGGACAGTAATAAGTGAGATTGCCTTTAGGGTGTACTGCGTATTCCTTACAGAGTGAGGGTTTTTCCAGCAGGTAGTTGTTTGTATAATATGCCAGTTGTAATACCTGTTATGCAGCGCTGTGTGTGTGCAACTAGGGGTTAAACACAGGGCCTTTGTATCGAGCTGCACCCCAGCACTTTAGTTTCAAGGTTGGGTCTCACTGACTTGCCTAGGCTGGCATCCAACTTGCAGTCTGCCTGCCTCAGCCACATAAGCTTGTGGGAGTACAGGCATGCACGGCCAAGCCCAGCTGAAACGCCTTTGTAAATAATGCTTAAGTGAGTCCAACTTACAGAGTAAACTTTATTTGTAATTGTAGGGATGGGTCTGCTGTGGAAATCGTAGGCCTTTGCAAATCTGCAGTTCGCTGGCTGCTGGAATTATCCCAGAGAAATATTTTCCCTTATCACGAAGTTAGAGTGAAAAGGCACGGTAAGCTGTTTGTTTACAAAGACATTTCTGATGTATCCTCTACGTACTTAACCTGCGTTATTATCATTTGATTGAGTCAACTAATATTGGAAAACCTTAAATTGTAAGAGGAAAGAAAAATAATTTACTAACGTGGAAATGGTAACAGACCTGGTTACTAACC